GCCATTTTAATCTTGAGTAGTTCTTTATGCCCCAGGCTTTTTTCTAAAATATTCAGAAATACAAGGGTCATTTTAATCTTGAGTAGTTCTTTATGCCCCAGGCTTTTTTTCTAAAATATTCGGAAATACAAGGGTCATTTTAATCTTGAGTAGTTCTCTATGCCCCAGGTTTTTTTCTAAAATATTCGGAAATACAAGGGCTATTTTAATCTTGAGTAGTTCTTTATGCCCCATAAAAGAACGCCTATATATAATGTTTTCAAGAAGTGTTCCACTCAATTCGATTTATTTACAGTTCGCGGTGAGTAGATGGGAATACATCTTTATCATTTTTAAGCAGATAAATTAAGCACTTTACCTCATGCTTAATGATGGTCACTAAGCTTAGTCTCTTGTTACTTTAGGTACTTATGGATCACGTGCACTTTATCACACGTTATATATAACATACATGATGTTATCACTGATTACATGTAGTGTACATAACGTTATCACAGATTATAGTAATATTATCACTGTTTATATATACTGAACATAAACTTACCACTGTTTATATAAACGTACATATAATTTCAATTGAATGGGTGTAAAAAGTATATAGTGTTATCACTAATTATATATTTTGTATTATTCTTCTGCCTGATAACACAGTTGATGCAATTGGTGATGACATTATATAGATTCTGTGTAATAAGTGACATATATAATATTATAACTGGCCTTGCAAGATGTACGCTAAGGTTACTTAGGTTCTGTGTAATAAATGATTATGTGACATGAATAATATTATAACCGTTCTTCCAGGAGGTACGCTGGGGATTATCTTGGTACTGTGTAATAAATGATTATGTGACATATATAATATTATAACTGGCCATGCAAGATGTACGCTAAGGTTACCTAGGTTCTGTGTAATAAGTGATTATGTGACATGTATAATACCTAGCTTGCTGGTTCGCCTGTTATTGTGAATGATAGTAAAATTTATTCCAATAAGATAATAATAATAATTAAACAAAAAAATAAATAATCAGTGCTAATATAAAATAAGTATATAAAATAAGTAAATAAATAAACAATATTCTGTTGTGATTCGCACCCTATAAATCTGATTTGTAAACGGTTTTAATAAAAGGATAATAATTAGAATTTACTTGCTTACTCTGATTCACACCATAAAAATTGTTGTTCACGAAAACTGATGATATATATATCATGTTTACACCACTTATGTTTGTCATAGTAGTGCAGTCGGCCTGATGTTTGATGATAGGCCTTGTTGACACTGGATATAGCTGATGTAGTGTGATTAACATATTATTTAAAAAATATTCTCATTTTTTTTCACTCATTGGTTCTTAGAATCTTAACTGGTCCTGCAATATTTATACCGAACAAATTTCTTATTATGGCGCCTTATTATTGATTGAATTGGACTGAGGACCCACACGTGCGATATTGAAGCGTACATCCTTCTTAAGCCTTGCCAGTCTAACAGTAAGCCTTCACTCACGTACCATTTACACCTTTACTGCGTAGGTTTTGCTTTTCTCCTGCGGATTGTAATAACTAAAAATATGCCTTGCTCTTTCAAGTATATTGTTTGTTTTAGTGTCGTAAAGTGGTTGTCTAAATTATTCTAGATGGAAAGTCGAGCTAACTTAAGGTTAGATGTGAAAATGATATTTGTTGTTTGTTCTACTAAGCCATTTTATTATAGTTTTCTTTTGTATTTACTGATGAAATTAAATTAAAACTAATAAAATCTCAGCTGACAATTGTCTTTGATGTGATGCAAAGATAATTCATAACTGGTTTATACGGTATAATTGGATATTTTTATGCTCAAAACAGATATAATTGCTATGATAATTACATTAACTCATTTTGATGTTTTGTTTTATTTACAACACTGGAAGGTTAAACAAGAGATTTTCACTAGTTTTTCAAATAATATGTAATTTTTGTGAAACTTTATTATAATATTATTGATTAAGTACAAGGTAAAATGCACCATTTATTGGCTGACCGTGCCATCTACAATGATAATAATAATTAATAATAAAATTACAGATTCAATTCAGTAAACGATCTCACTATGAATCATTGTGTTTTAAAAAATTTCTGGCCCGGCATGGCCAGGTGGTTAAGGCGCTCGACTCCCAATCCGAGGGTCGCGGGTTCGAATCCCCGTCACACCAAACATCC